AGATTTTAACTCCGATTCTTGCCTCCGAGTACTAAATAACATTGCCCTTGACCATGTCTTTGAGGACCCACACTACTTTCTTCGTAGGCCAAATGTCCAAGACTTACCTGCAAATAGATTCATCCTCCTCAAAATCCTCAAAGAAAATGTCATCCCAGTCCTTAACAAAGATAAACAAGTCGGGGTTTATGAATGCACTCTCCTATATTGGCTCCTCACTCACAAGAAAATAAATCTCCCTACCATCATCCTTAAACACATGCACGAATGCTCCGGTCGCCTAAACAAACCCTATGGCATACTACTTACCCACATCTTTTCCAAAAGGGAAATTCTTGAGGTGCGCCCTTCCCGTGTCCACTATCTTGACGCGGAGTGCCTTGGCTATAGTGGCCTCGTAAAGATTGGAGCGGAGTACTACATGAAGAAAGAGTTCCAAAATCTTGATGAGGCGACACGAGCGGAGTATGGTCCTCGGCGATCCATGTCATCTCTGCCTTCCACTTCACGAGCACCCCAAGCCGAAGCCGAAGAAAATGCCAACACGGAAGTCCCCGTTCGTGCTCCTCGGGTCAAACACTCAAAGTCGGCGTCTCATGCTTCCTCGGCCTCTCTCATGCATCGTCACTCTCACATGGCTTCAACTTCCAAAAATCCCTTTAAGAAGTTCAAGAAATTCATCCTCAAGACCGTAGTGGCTCTGATGAGGAAACTTCAAGAAAGCCTCGATGACCTCTCGGATCGGATGAAGAAGATGGAGGACCGTGAGAATCGCCAAAAGCAAAATGAGGATCGTGCTTCTAAACGCCGCTAAGTGTTGAGCATTTGACAATATTGATCAAACATTATGTATTTTGCCTAAGTTTTAAAACTCTTTGTCCTGTTACTCTTTCAAACTTTGTTATGATTATGCTTATGATCTGATGCTTATACTTGAATGCTTAAAATTGTTGCCATGATGAATGCCTATGTGTTGAAACTCGTGTTTTTGGTACCCCGCCTTTTTGAATGTTGCCAAAAGGGGGAGAAATATGCATACATTTAGGGGGAGTTTTTGTCAAAATACAACGTGCATCAACTTAGGGGTAGTTTTTAAATCAGTATATGTTTTTCACGAGATGTTTGTGCGTTCGATTATTATATTCGGAAGCTTTATTTGTCAACATCAAAAAGGGGGAGATTGTTGGCCTTGAATGCCGTACCCCGTAACCGTTTTGATGTGCCAAATAAGTCTTCCAAATGCTACTAACATCATTTGCAGGAAGAAACCAAACGCCAAACCTCTATTAGCTTGTTTAGCATCACCGAGATATACTCCTACGAGTTTAGAAATTATTGTGTAAAGGTAATAATATATATTTTAATGATATACTTATGCCCTTTCACTCAAAAATTAATTTTAAATGTCAAATATATTCTAAGTTGGGGTCATTTTGAAAA